CATTCCTGGAGCTGTTATAGTCAATGATCGTGCGTTGGAAATTAAAGTGGACGGTGGAGAAACCAACCTTCGGCAAGGATCCTTGGGAAATATACTATGAAACGTCAAGTCTTTCCCATTGGAATGATTATCACAAAGTGTAGCAGCATTGTAAGAACAATTGTTTTTTGTCGTAGTTGTAGGGTGCACTTCTGCCACGTTATACACTGTACACATAATTGCGCTGTGGCCCTTAGGCATCGCTTTCATGCTTACGTCGTAAGTGTGTTTAACGGATAGCTTTTGCGTCGGCATGGAAACTATACCTTATATAGGGATTCTGTTCACACAAAAGATGATTTCGGCGCGATTTCTGTAGCGAAGCGACGCTGCGTGGCGCCCATCTCTAAAAGGGGAGAGTCACATATCGAATAGGTGTTCATACTATACCGGATAGCTTTTCGTCTCGCGGCACGAAAAACAGTTATCCAGTATAGTGTAAAAATATCCTTAGACTTTGTTCACACTATTTCGCTCCTAATGGGATACCTTTTTCCTTTGTCACGAAAACCATATCGGATAGGGCTTCTGTTCACATATAAGAACGGTTATGGCGGCGCCATTTCTGTAACAGTAGGGACTTTAAGATCCAACGACGGGACGGCGACAAGAATGTCGCTTAAAAAGTGAATTTGCCTTCTTTCAGTCTTCATAGCGATTATTCCTACCCACTTACTTTGTCAATTGTAGGCGAACCCTCCTGAAGCTGAATTTCAACGGACAATATTCAAGCTCAGAAAGAGAAAAAAAATTTCGTCGTTGCTTGTTTACGTCCTCCATAAAACGCGAAATGAGGCATTTTCACGTCGTAGTCGTGCAAAAACGGGAAAGAAATGTACAAAAAAGTGTGATGCACGTGCAAAGTTGTTGCTTTGCTAATTAAACCTAATTTTTTTTGGACGTTCTCGTTGTCGTCCGCGTCGTTGGATCTTAAAGTCCCTAGTGCGAAGCTGCGCGGCGCCGATCTCTGCCTAGTTACTGGACGCCTTTTTCTGGATGAAAATTTGCGTGCAAAGGAAGATTGGAAAGAGAAAACGGTCGAGACGCACTATGTGTGTGACCATAGCCTTATACTGGAGGGCGTTTAGGCTTAAAGACCTTCACATTAAGAAAAATTAATTATCACGTTTACGTCAAACGGCAAACGAGAATTTGTACCACGTGACCAAGTTTTCTCTTACTTGTCTTTTACTGTTCATTATTTCTACTCCTAAATTAGTAGTTTCACGAACTCTTTTATCCATAAGAATTATTTCAAACTGTTTTTATCTGCTCATTTTCTATTTCCAGAAATTCTCAACTTGAATCTGACTTTAAATTACCATTTAACGTAAACGTGACTCTTATTTGAGACGTTTAGCGACGTACGCCCGTTTCCCTTTTACGGCTGAAGTGAAACCCCGGGTTGATTCTGGCCTTTGCTGTTTGAGTTTCGATCCATTCTCCACTTTAGGATGCCGTCAACGTTATGTCAAGGATTTTATAGCCTGCGAAAACAGCCGTTTCTTCTCGCTCTTCGCCGCTGTGACGTTTCGCGCGGACCTTCCTCCGCGCGAAACGTCCCCTACGGCGAAAGAACAAGGAGAAACGGCTGTTTTCGCAGGCTACGGAATGGAGTGAAAAATATCCCTTATCAAGGAATAGGGACGGTTTAAAACAAAATGAGCAAGGAAGATCACACTTAGGATAACAGGCTTTTATTCATTGCAGAAAAACCCATCGAAAGCAAAGTACTACAACAACTTGTCAGTTACTTGAGGCGGTCGCTATATTGAATTTGCGGACAGCAGCAGTGCTGTTTTTAATTCAACCACAAATAGATACATGCTCCCCGGGCCCCGGGACATGCTTATTCTTCGGCGTAAATAGACACCTAAACATGTATTCAAAACCTTGCTCAGCACAATGGTTACATGTTTACGTGGCCAAACTCAAAGTGTTCTGCTCAATTCCCTCAGGTAAATGACTTGAAAACCCACCTCTCCGCGTTCGAAACCCGCGTTGAAAACCTGAAACGTGACCTCAAATACTTATCACGTGGTCTCCAGCCGTTTGCCTGTAGTTTCGCCTAAAAACGTCAAGCTAATTACCTAACGATTTCGTGCCGCACAATGTTCTTTTACGATGCCGCGAAACAGCACAAAATACGCAAAAAAGATGGAAATGGTAGTGGCGGTAGTGATCTGATAGTGGACAACTTGCACTTTTTGAAAAAATCATATAAATGCATGGTGCCGAGCAACTGAGTGCAGTCCCTACTATAAAACTCTTGGCCGAAAAATGAAACTTTGGGATTGGCCAGGGGAAATGCCATGATATGATATTTTTTTCTTTAAAATCTGATTTTTTATCAAATTAATATTAACATTAATAACAGCAAACGTTACATATTAATTACTGATCAAAAAGTGGTTGATCAGAAGATAAAGGCGTCATTTTAGTACATTTACTTCTTGCTGCATTGATATAAGTATTGTATAGAAAAGGCATTATAACAATACATTCTGTTTAAGAGGCTGGCCATTTATACCTAGTCTGCTATAGTTAATATACATACGAACTTGGTAAACATAGAAATTCTACGTACTAGCCTGGTAAATGTAATATAAATTACAAGTTGAAGATAATCGACGTTAACAAATGAATTTAAGAGCTAATAATACTGTCAGCTGTACTGTGGCGAGTTAAATTAGGGACTTCAAGATCCAACGACGCGACGGCAACGAGAACGCCGCCTAAAAAGTGACTTTACGTTCCTTCAGTTTCATAGGGATTATTCCTACCCACTTACTTTGTCAAATGTAGGCGAACCCTCCTGAAGCTGAATTTCAAGGGACCATAGCCAAGCTCAGAAAGAGAAATAAAATCTCGTCGTTGCTTGTTTGAGTCCTCCATAAAACACAAAATCAGGGATTTTCACGTAGTAGTGGTGCAAAAACAGGTAAGAAATGTACAAAAAGGTGAGCACGTGCGAAGTTGTTGTTTTGCTTATTAAACCAAATGTTTTTTTTTTTTGACGTTCTCGTTGCCGTCCGCGTCGTTGGATCTTAATGTCCCTATTACAAGTATACGGCTGGCAAACTTTGAAATGGTGTAATAGCTCCAGGTGCTTTTTGGATAAGCTGGATAGGATATTTCTCTAACTATTCTTAAAGACTTCCAGTGAATTCTTCAATTAGCCCATTAAATTCTTTGTAAAATTTCAAGCTTTTGACAAAGATAATTAAACTTTTTGAAAAATATCACGTCAAAAATGGAATTAATAAATTTTTGTAACTACATTAGAAAATTCTTAAAAGATTTTCCTACCTAGAACACAAGCACACAATCATAAAATAAATCGTCATATAGTCTATCGTAAAAAGGTCAAGCAAGTTAACATATAAGAACAGGCATTTCATGGTAAATAAAAAAGTTGCAGTGGTGGTATACTAGTTATAAATCCATATTATATCAAGTGAGTAGTGTCACGTCCATTAAAACTTGGTACTCAGGCATCTATGGCGTGTTTTGTTTTTCCATTTCAGATCACATGATGGTATCTAAGAGAACTGTTTCGCCTTCTTAAGGGATGATTACAAGGCGAATTTCAGCCAGGGCTTAAATATTATTGCGATTTTATGACAAATTTCAAATTTATCGCCTTTATTCCACTGAAATCCTTTCTCCTGCGCGGCCATATTGTTTCCAAGAAAACAACCTCACTGCGCATGCTCACGTTACCTTTTCAGCCCAGGCTTAAGCCCAGGCTGACATTTCATTTCGATTACATGGACGTTTTGCGGATTTTTCTGCCCGTTTGCCCAGGCTGAGAATCCTAGGTCGGTTTCAGAAACCGGGCTTCCTGGCTAGGATTTTCAGCCCGGGCTGAAACCTTCTCCATATAATCTCCACTTTCATTTCAAGAGGATTTCTTTCAGAACCCGGGCTGAAATTTCAGCCCGTGCATCCAGGTGCAATAGAATGCATAGAGAGACAAAGGAAAAATTTCCTAGAGAACATCACGTGGTCTGAATTGGCAAAACAGCTAACCAGGTCTATCGCTTCCCAAGGTGGTTCGAAAAGTTGAGATTCGACTATATTGATTAACTCCGTGTTAGTTTTAACCAAACGCCGACAATTTATTTAACTATATGCCGGGCGGCCGGGAAGGGTCTTAAAAAAACGAAATGCCCGGCAGTCAGAAAAGTTTCTAAAATTCCTACAAAATCCCTTTTTTTAGTAATCATTTGAAAGTATTCTATCTTCATTTAGAATTACCAAGCGATCAAAGAACAAGAATGGCTTCGCAGATGAGCGGTTGTGGTTTCTTGGGCATAGAGTCAAGATCCACGCCGGGCGGCACTTTGAAAAATTTTGTGACTGAAGTGCATGACTCACGGAGGGCATGATTTCACACAGCCTAAATACCCGGCAGTCTGAAAGCGGAGCTGGAAAGTTACAAAGCCTTCTCTTCAGCTCTTCAGGCAAATATAAGGGAGTACCCCTACCCGGGCTTCAGAGTAGCCAAGTGGGTACAAAGGGTTCAATAAACGTTTAAACAACATAAACGTTATAACAAAGCATACTGACGGGTATTTAGCTTGGATGAAAACGTGCCCGTGAGTCATGCACTGTCTCACGAAACTTTTCTAAGTCTCGAAACGGCGTCGATCTTAACTCTACTCTATGCCCAAGAAACCATAACCGCTCATCTGCGAAGCCATTCTCGTTTTCTTCATCGCTTGGTAATTCTAAATGAAGATAGAATACTTTCAAACGATTAGAAAAAGAGATTTTGCAGAAATTCTAGAAAATTCTCAGACTGCCGGGCATATAGCGTTTTTAAGACCCTTCCCAGTTGCCGGACATATAGCCAATTCGTTTAATTATTTATAGTACATAGTTTAGCCAGACCGCTGTCATCAGTGCTTAATTAATTGATATTAACTTACTACACAGTTACTTCCACGTATTTTACAATGGCGCTTTGTTTCAGCAAATTCGTCAAATATTCTTTTTGCAAAACCCTTGCAATTATTCACCAGCAAGTCATAATTTATGTTTAGCTCATCTTCATCATAAAGAAAATCTATCAGGTCCTTTATTGTTTTACGTCCTCTATCATAACTCATTTGAGTCACGAGGACTTTTCTTGGTTCCCCATTCACAAAATCTTTAACCTTGACTGGGAATTTGTTTCTCTGGATAAGAATTCTCTTGTCATCTTTCTCGATGGACCACCACCAGCTCTCCGTTTCAAACACCACAAATTGATGGTTCAAGAGCAGTTTAGTCAATTGCCACTTACTGAGTGAACATTCATAAATCCAGATTTGCAGGATCTCCTCGCTGGTATCAATCGCCTTACTTATATCTTCCGTCAGAGAATTACCTTCAATAGTGAGGAGTCTCGAAGAGCTTGGATCAAACAAATCTACTTGACTCGCCCAGTTTTTACCGTGTTTGCCTCGTAGTTTGTCCTTTAATGCCATTGCAATACTCTAGAAAATTAAGACATAAAGTTATTCCAGTTCTCAGGTAAATTAGGGCACGGCCCCCCAATGATTCAGCCGAAAAAGTGATGGGGGGTGGTCTATGGTCTATCTCTGAGTTAAAAAGATGAGACTTTGCCAGATACAGTGGTTTCTGTCAATTTGGTGTTTTTCAATTATGCAGAAAACAATAAAAAGTCTTTAAACAAAAATGGCAACACTTTTTGTTGTGAGTAATTAAACCGGACTGGTTTTACATGTTTGAATAAAAATGACAACTCAGCGGATAGTAATTTTAAATTTCTAGAGTCCTGTTCTTCACAGGAACATATAGTAGTAGTCGAACTAGACAATAATTCCAGGAGGACATATATAATGAGCATCATGCAGTCTATCCAGCGTAACAAGCATCGCACGTACATTTTAATACACGCCAATCGCCTTCTTGGGGACATCATATTCACGCGAAAGTAGTATACCCCTTATTATCTTAGCCTTACCTTCGTTTTTAGTCTTTCAATTTAGTTCCCCACCATATATTCGGAAAGAAAAATGTCTAGTCGCTTTATAGCGCTTGAGATGTTGCAAAACAAATAAATTTGCGTGAAGAAATTACACCTTTAGTTTCATAGCCGAGGGAAATTTTTACAGTTGAGCTCCCATGCAGCGATTACCTATAAGCAAGAGAGGATAAAGGGGATAGCCCCTTTATCCTCTCTTCCTATAAGACATGGACCGTCCATACCTCTCCCCAATGCAAATATGCTGAAGTTCAAAGGTTTTGATACGCCCAACTACTATAACGTTTGTATGGGATTTGTTTTTCAATTTTCAAATGGGGCAATCTAGTTCAACAACTCGAGCGCAAATAGTGAAACACGACACAATTCATCAAATTCTATCTTTACTCTTTTAGAATCCATTACAAAACAATTTATATATGGATGGCACACTATGCATATAAAGTAAGTCTCAAGTAATACAAGAGTACAATTTTTATCCACATCGGTTTCGCTCGTATCCTTTTACTAGCAAAGTGAATGATGTTAGTCTCGCATGCGTTATCCTGCGTAGCAAGCGTTTCCGCGCGAGTTCATCGCGAAGGTTGGAACGAGAGCAAAAAAAAGGGAATGACTGGGGATGGGGATGGGGATGGGAAAGAAGAAAACGCTTGCCCGCAAACCCCACGATTTTGAAAAACTGCGTTCACCCACGAACGCATCTGATTGGTTCGGTGCTGGTAGTGGTGATTGCTTAGCACTCGAAACATGAATCAAACCAGGTATGCTTTGTTTACGTGCGTGACAGATCTGGTCTCAGCTGATTTGTGGACGCAGATTACGAATGCTTTGGAGTGCTCCCGCTCTAACTTTGGCGCAATAACTCGATTGGAAACGCTTGCTGCGCAGGCTAGGCTTGCGTAAGCAGCGAGACACATAATCTGCAACGCGTTTCTCGCTCCGGGGGGTAGTTCCTATATAGGCTATATGAGTATGTGCGGCGCCAAGGAGTATGGTTTTTCAGCCGTTTTGGTCTGTAATAGGGCATCAATTTCGACCATTTTGGTCTGAAATAGGGTATCGTTTGTGCACTCTCTTCTTGAATTGGGTATGTTTTTTAGAAGAATTAGCTACTTCTTCATCATTTGGCAATAAGACCATTTCCTTTTTAATGTTTACGCCAACTACCGTGTACGTGCCATAACAGCTTGTCACGGGCTCCGGTCACGCGCCAGGCTCCAAGGCTTCAGGTCTGAAATAGGGTATCAAATTTTTGATCAGGTCTGAAATAGGGTAGGGAAAATCGCAGATTTTGGTCTGAAATAGGGTAAGGGTTTCCGGAAGCGTGCCGCACATTCCCGCCCAATTTTTCTGGAAGTACCCCCTTGAATCTTGTCGTTTTGGGGTCACAGATCGGGGGCCATTGTGTCAGGCGTTCTTTGCGGACACCGTGGAAACTGGGACTAAGAATTGTTCCGTGATCGAAGCCACGCATGTTTTGCAAAGAAAGTTTAGGAAAGATTAAATTTAGAGCTTTTTCGAAACGTGCCGGTCCACGAATTCTATCGCTTGAAAGCGTCGATTATTTTGGAGCAAGTAAACCCTACTGAGTGGTCGAAAAAAAATAAGGATCTTGATTAGCAAAATTGCGATGGTCGGGTGTTGTAAACTTTCACTGCATGCAAATGAGTCTTGTGATGAGCATGCGATTTATTTTCGGCGATGATTGAAATGACGTGCCATGTAAATCACTTTTTCGATCTCTGGTAATGAAGTAATTTCTTTTTATCGACGTCGATAAAGTAGGAAGTAAAAAACCATTAGCGAGTAAATCGTGTTTCTTGTAGAATTAATCGCCTCCTCATTTCTCGATCTAATCTCCAAGCAGGCGAGACCTGAATGCCGCTGTAAGCGCCTTCTTGCTATATAACGATTATAACTTCAGAATTTGACATTCAAGTGTGTATGGTTTTAACCCTCAGGAAAAATTTACCTCATGACAATTTGGGCCAAAGATTATCTTGTTTATTGCGTTGAACCAGAAACTCATCATGGAGTTTCTCATGTTGACTGACTTGATAATCATAATCATGATGCTCAAAACACAGTACCATGAACCTTTGTTTCAGCAAATTCGTCAAATATTATCTGTGCAAAATCCTTACAACTACCCTCTGTCAAGTCATTCTTTATGTATTCATTTTTATCATGGAGAAAATGTATTAAGTCCTTTACTGATTTCTCCCCTTTATCATACCTAAGATGACACAACAGGATGATTCGTGGTTTTTTACCGAAAAAATTTTGAACATTCGATAAGTTCTCGCTCCTCTGAATTAGAAATCTCGCCTCATCTTTCTCAATGGACCACCACCACCAGTTTTGCGTCTCAAACACGACAAATTGATGGTTAAAAAACAGTTGCGGAGTTAATTGCCAGCTACTGGGTGGGCATTTGTAAACCAAGATTTGCAAGATCATCTCTTTTGCATCACTCATCTCACTCTTGACTTCTTTAAGAGAATCATCATTATTACTAATGAAGAGTGCATGAAAAGGGCTTGAGCCTCTTTTTTTGCCACTTGCAAAAACATTACCAAATACAGTATTATGAAAATTTGTTTCAGCAAATTCGTCAAATACTTTCTTTGCAAAATCGTTACAGTTATCTTCCAGCAAGTCATACTCTATGTTTAGCTCATCTCTATCATAAAGAAAATCTATTAGGTCCTTTATTGATTTCCGTCCTTCATCATAGCTAAGCTGACACACCGGGGTTCTTCTTTCGCTCTGAAAATGTTTCCCATCCTCTACAGTATCCACAGAATCTCGAACATTGTTGAGTTGTTCGCTTCTCTGAATTAGAATTCTCGCGTCGTCTTTCTCAATAGACCACCACCATTTTGTAGTTTCAGGTACGACACATTAATAGTTAAAGATAATTTGAATAATTTGCTTCATGTTAACGTTTCTGAGTTTGCTTATATAAACCCAGATTTGTAGAATTTTCTCGCTGTCATCAATCATGGAACTCAAGTCTGATTTGAGTGTATGGTCTTTACTCAAGTTTGGGCTTATAGAAGATAATGTTACAGTTTTTCAATGACCATGAAATTCAGAATCCGGGTAGTTAGTTAATCGATTGGGGCCCTGAAAAATTTTGAAGGAAAAAAACTACGAATTTTTAAGAACATGCTTTTTCCGTGACAAGAACTCTTAAAAGCTGACAAACGTCAACAAATAGCTAAAACTATAATTTCTATATGTTTGCATTGCTCGAAATCGCGCGTATTTACAAGGCCCTAAAGTTTTTTGCTGACTTGCAAGGACCCATCTGTTATGAAGATCCCAAAAATAAAGGGATCAATCGCATAGTTTATTAGATATAATCGTGTAAAGTTTGCTTATCATTTTCGCATAAATTATGACCTCAATTTGGAAACCGCTGAATTTCTCGAATTAGGTCTTTGCGATTTTGGTGAAACTTTGTTCAACGCAAGGCACTAATGCGCACTATATGTAGCCGAGAGATTTTCATGAAAAAATGCCGGCAACAGCAGATTTTCGACTCAGACCTTAAAGGGGCGTGGCATAATAACCACATGACATTTACTCCAATCGCCAAAAATTTTGTGTTATATTGTAGATTGGTCTATATTTTATCCATTCTATGTGTTAGACTTACTAAAAGTTAAGGTGGGGATACCAGAGAGCTTCAAAGTAGGATGGTACCCCCCCAAAAAAACTGGGTCGAGTCACCTTAAGCGACAGTCAGTTATTTGCAAAAACGACAATTTTTTGCCCCTTTCAGTTAATAAATAGTACGTTCAGCAAAAGGCCAGAATTTCTGTTATAAAGTTTCAAGCGCTGTATATTATGCCCAAATGCTTTAAATCCGAGTCATTTCACTGCTTAAGCATTTGATCAAGGAGAATTACCCGCGTTCTAACTTAACTGCATGCTGGACGTTTAAGACGATTAACTTTACCTTAATCTTCAACTCTTTCTTTCTTTCTTTCTTTTTCTAGCGAGCAATTGTAGTTATGTCTCGAAAGACCCCAGTTTCAAGCAACTGCGAGTTTGACAGCAGCATTCAGGCGTATCGCTGTTTGTTAAACTCTAACAAAAAAATTATATTGATCGGGACTGTGCTGAAAGCACTGCATTCCTTCATGAGTAATAACAGTTCATTATCTTTGTTACCTCAGGCACAGTTTATTTGTGCCTACACAAAGAACAATTCCAAGAAAACTATACGTAAACGTTGTGGAACCTAGTCACATTAGGTTTGTAACTTTTTAAGACACTCGGTCTGAATGGCTGTTTCTGGGTCACATGTCTCTTTGCTAAATTTCCAGATACAGAGAAAAAGAAAACAGCTAAAAATAGGCTAGATTCTGAGTTGATTACCAAGACTTCAACAGCTATTAAACGCTTGGTGTTACACCTCTAAAATCGTAGTGAAACTTCGTACGAACAGCAATCGAAGGACACCAGCAG